GCAAAAAAAAAAAAAAAAAGTTAATGTTCAAGTAACTCTTACTTTATTTAATAACGTCCAAAAGCACAGGAGTAGTGATACTTTTTATAGTATTTGTTATAATTGTTTTATTTTATTTTTTGCACCACTGGGGTGGAACCCAGGGCTTCACATGCCAGGCAGGTGCTTGCCACACCCTAGTGCTGTACTATTTTATTGTTAGTTCTTATAAGCCCCTCACTGCGCCTAATTTATGAATTACACCTCACCTACAGTGCACATAAGTTTTGGCACTGTCTTCAATTTCAGGCACCTGCTGGGGGTCTTGGAAGGCATGCCCTGCAGAAAAAGGGGCTCTGTACAGGAAAGAATGGGTGTGGCCATGTGTCAATAAAACTTTATTAGGGACTGGGGATTTGGCTCAGTGGTTCCGCTGCCTGCCTTGCAAGCACACGGAGCTGAGTTCGATCCCCAGCACCAAAACAAAACAAAACAAAAAACAAACTTTACTGGCAACAACTGGTGAGCTGTATTTGGCCCACAGCCATCAGTTACCATCCTCTGCCACAGAAATGAGTAAATGCTATGCTCTACAATTACAAGATGCACCAGGCATGGTGGCGCACACTTGTACTTCCAGCACTCAGGAGGCTGAGGCAGGAAGATCACCATGAATTCGAGGCCAGCCTGGGCAACATAGTGAGTTGAAGGCCAGCTTGGACTACACAGAGAGACTCTGACTCAAAATTAAATAAATAAATAACGTTGCTTGGTACAATAATTGGAGTCCAGACTGTTGTCACATTAAAGACTTGTCACTTTACCTGAGCTGTAAGCCCCATGTGGTTGTCAAACCTGATGTGTGGCTGGTGTGGCCAGGGAACAGAGTGCTTCATTTGATTTCATCTGAAATTTTTTTTTTTTTTTTTTTTTTTTTTGTACCAGGCATAGAACTCAGTGCCTTGCACTTGCGAGGCAGGTATGGTGCCACTGAGCTAAATCTCTGGACCATCATCTGAATCTTTTTGAGGTGGGTGGCTTGAGATAGGGTTTTGCTATGTGGTCCAGGCTGGGCTCGAACTCGAGATCCTCCTGCTCAGCCTCTGGAGGAGCTGGAATGACAGGTGTGTGTGACACTGTGCCTGGCTTTTATCTGATCTGACTTCAGCTGGGGTTCAGGTAGCCCTGGGGTGGGCAGCACACCTCCCCCCTTCCTGTGCTGCTGTCCCGGGTTAAAGGTCGCCAGGGCCCGCCTTGGTGAGGCCCTTTCTCCTTTGTTCTGCTTAGGAAGCCAGAAAGGACCAGGGACAGACAGGGACCTAAAATCAGGTAGGTTTCTCTCCGTGGTGTGAGCAGCAAGCCTGGGCAGGTCCCCCAGGACCAGGAGCCTGCCCAGGTGCTGCCTGAAAACTTCTTTCCAGAGAATTGAGGGGGGCACTGTGACTTGTCCACGGCTGGGGGTGACGTGGTTGTTGGGCTACGATTTACTTATCTGTTCATTTATTATTTGCAGTTTTGGGGATAGAACCCAGGGCCTTGCATGCCAGGAAAGACTGGCCCTGGGCCCTGTGACCCCAGGAGACAAGTTGGTGATCCGGCCTCTTCTCTGTCCTCAGGCCAATGTCCCGAGGACTCCTTCTTCTGCCTCAACAGCCAGTGCGTGACCAAAGTGAACCCCGAGTGTGACGACCAGGCCGACTGCTCTGATGGCTCAGACGAGGAGCTCTGCGGTCAGTCGGTGCCTGGTGGGACTCGAGCCTGGGGTTTCCTGGAGCCGGGTGGAGGGAACAGGAGGGGAAACTGGGGAGGGGACAGATGTGTTCCGGTGTGAGGGGCAGAGAGTCGCTGGGTGAGATGAGAATAGAAATCAGGCTGCAAAGACTGGTTCAGTCCCAGCACTCGGGAGGCTGAGGCAAGAGGATCGCTGTGAGTTCGAGACCAGCCTGGGCTACATAGTGAGTTCCAGGTCAGTCTCAACTACATAGTGAGACCCTGTCTCAAAAAACAAAAATAACCAAAAAACAAGACCACAAAAACAAAAACAAAACAAAAGGCTGGTTTGGGCCAGAGTTGTATATAGGGGTTCATACCTGTAATCCCAGCACTCAGGAGGCAGAGGCAGGAGAATCTCAGCAAGTCAAGGTCACCCTGGGCTACATGGTGAAACCCTGTCTCAAAAAACAAACAAAAAAACAAAAAAGAATTTTGAAACTTGAAAAATTTACAGTAATTAGGGGCTGGGGATTTAGCTCAATGGTGCCATGCCTAGCAAGAACAAAGTCCTCAGTTTGATCCCCGGTACCAAAAAAAAAAAAAAAAAATTTAAGTAGTTCTATCCTGGTGCTTGGACAGACAGGGTGATGGTTCAGGGCAACAGGCAGTATCCTCAAACTATGAACACCAATTGGGAGGTTGCCAAGGCCACCCTGGGGTCAATGACCTCAGAGAGCTCTCATGCTTGTGGCTATAGCTTCTTTGTTTTTTGGTTTGTGTTTTTTTGGGGGAGGTTTGAGACAGGGTCTCACTATGTAGTTGAGACTGACCTGGAACTCACTATGTAGCCCAGGCTGGTCTCGAACTCACAGCGATCCTCCTGCCTCAGCCTCCCAAGTGCTGGGATTACAGGCGTGCGCCACCAAGCCCGGCCTTGTTTTTTGTTTTTGTTTTTCTGGTACTGGGACTTAAACCCAGGGCCTTCACACTGAGCTCCATCCCCAGCCCTTTTTATTCCTTATTTTGAGGCAGGGTCTCTGTAAGTCATGAAGTTATCCAGGTGGGGCCAGAACTTGGGGATCATCCTGCCTCAGCCTCCCAGAGTCCTGGAAGGTCACGCATGCTTCCGGGTGGACTTGAGGCAGGGAGGGGAGCTGGAGTTTCTGGTGGGGGACACTGTGTTTTGCAGACTGCGGCCTTCGGCCGGCCTGGAGAACTGCTGGCCGGATCGTGGGCGGTATGGAGGCAGCCCCGGGCGAGTTCCCCTGGCAAGTCAGCCTGCGCGAGCACAGCGAACACTTTTGCGGGGCCACCATCGTGGGCGCCCGGTGGCTGGTGTCTGCCGCCCACTGTTTCAACGAGTGAGTCCCCCCTGGCCTGGCTGCCTGCCTGGGTCTCAGCGCCGTCCTCCCCACCTTTCTTCAGCTTCCCCTGGTTTCCTGCGGAGAGTCTTCTCTCCCTCTCTCTTCTGCGTTCCTGGCGATTGAACCCAGGGCCTTCACACCAAAGTACATCCCTAGCCCTCCTCCTTTGGCATCAGGGATCGAACTTAGGACCTTGCACTTGCGAGGCAGGTATAGTGCCACTGAGCTAAATCCTCGGCCCCATCCCTAGTCATTTAAAAAATTTTATTTTGAGGGCCGGGGATTTGGCTCAGTGGTTCTACTGCCTGCCTCGGAAGTGCAAGGTCCCGAGTTCGATGCCCGGTGCCAAAAACAAACAAAACAACAACAAAAACTAACTTTGAGACAGGGTCTTGCTCAATTGCCCAGGCTTGGCTTGAGAAAATTGAGATCCTCCTGTCTCAGCCTCCAGAGCGCTGGGATGGCGGGCGTGCGCACCATGCCCACCTGCTGCGCTGTCAAACGGGGTCCTTGCCTCCATCCCCGCTCCTATCTGCACCGCCGGTCCCGCCCGTGCCCCCG